CTCATTAGGCCATAAAAATCCTCAAGGAGAATATCATCATCATTCCCATTTTGCACATGAAGAGACAGAGGCAGTGAGGCATGAGGGCTTCCGAGTCTATTTTATTAGAACTCCTTCGGGATCCATCTTTAGTGTCATGTTTAAAATCATGCACTTCTATGTGATGTTTAAAAATATGCGCAAGCTAATGGGCATGGTACCCAGGGACTCCTGTGTATGTAACAAAGAGGTGAATGTCTGAACGGGGCTGACGACCAGCAGGGATTCAGTGGCATGGTCATGCTAAATGTGGCAATCAAACTTAATCAAAACTGCCCTTGAAACTCTCCTAGGAATCACCCACACAGATGATTTTACTCCAACATCAGACCCTTTTGCTCTTTTTATGGCTGAGCCCCGAATTCAGTAGTGGCCTGGCAGCTGGGCCATCAGCGGATTCTTGACGGGCCTGGGCGGGATGCTCGCAACAGGCCAGGGAAGAGGGAAACATGACAGCCCAGACCTTCAGCAGATGGAGGGTTTCGGTGTCAGAAATGGGGTCAAAATCTCAACAAGCTCAGCTCCTCCATCTGAGAGGAGGCGTAACTGAGCAGAGCCAGATGGCTATCTAGACCTTCGAGTTTCTCAGGGTGGATGGCTCCTGGCTTCCTGTGATAGCCTTTTCTGGTGGTTATCAACACCCATCATCAATAATGGCTAATTTATGTTTAACTCACATCCCCCGTGCAATTTCAGTCTGTTTCTTATTCCTCTGTAGACACAGAGAACAGATGGGAGCATTCTCCTGTGACATTCTAGAGAGTGGAAGATAGCCATTCCTCCCTCCTTCCTCAGCTCACATTGTTCTCTTTGACCAGAGGGCCAACCTCTTCATTTTTCTGTGCAAGTTTCATTTTTTAGTCAGTTATTTTATCTGAATTGCATTGGATTTTTAACCAAATAAACAGTGTTTTTCTTGGCAAAAGTAACACATGCAGGTGGTTCAGATTCTAACAGTACAAAAACAAATGTAGTTTTCCTCCCATCCCATTCTTCTCAGGCTCCTTTCTTGATTCAGCTTTTCTCTCACCAGCAGTTTCTCCCAGATCATTTTATTTTTATTTTTCTAAAGATTTATTTATGTATGCATACAGGAACTGGGGTAAGGCCAGAGGTGCGGAGGGTGGGAGGAGTCACCAGAGACAAGGCGGGGAGCAGAATAGACAGATCTACTGAAGTACACTGCTGAGGGGAGCAGTGAGTGGATCAAGAGAGGTCTGCTGCGCCATGTGGGTCACCTCCCTGGCCGGGGATCAAACTCATGCTGCAGTGGCTGCGATAGATTCATAGTGCTGAGATTCCTTGCACTACCAGGGAGGCGCCCCAAAGCATTTTCTTAACATGTCCAAATATCCAAATATAGGCTGTATTTTCTTCTACATCCTTCTTCAATTCAACGCATTCATTAAGGACATGCTGTGTGCCAGGCACTGTGCCACTTCTGGGCTGGGGCGTGAACAGAAGAGATGTGCTTCCCTATCCTTTGTGCATGTGCTGCTGGAGGACCAAGGGAAGGCACAGCCACCCACTCATCAAAGGCATGCTCATCTAGTGCTCTCCATATGTTGGGCAGTGTGGCAAGCACCGGATAACAGGAGTTCTTGCACTTCTTCCAGAGCTTGTAGCCTCATGGGTGGGAGCACAGACTAATGAGCTAGTATGCGGGGAAATGTCATGCAATGCCAGGGAAGTGCCAAGATGACCCTTGACAATCCTTCTACATCTTATAAGCTGCATGGTTCCCTATGGGAAGCAGGTCACCAAGGTCAAGTCTCGTGCCTAGTGGGAGGGGGGAGCAATGATAGGAACTGCGGCTCCAAGCCCAGTGGCTGGCCATGGGCTAAGCACTTTCTACGCACTCTTATAGGAGACCTGGTGAATGCGAGGTGCATGCTACGCTCTCCGTGTAACAGACGAGGACACGGGGCTCCACAGATGTTAGGGAACTGAACCCAAAGCATGAAAAGGAAATTCAAATTCCAGTGTCTTTCTGCAAAGCCCGAGCTCTTAGCCACCTTCCTGACCAGTTTCTGGCCATGAGTGTGAGCGTGGGTGATCCTGACGCTCCTCCTCCCCTCGTGGAGAGCCACTGGCCGACACATAGGAGGTTGACTCAGTCTCTCTCTAGACTGACTTTTTCCAATAGAGACTGTGAGATGCAGAGGAAGATTCACTGGTCCAGGAGTCAGGAGATCCTCATTCTGCTCGTGCTCTGCCTTTCATAAACTCCATGATCTTGAGCAAGTCATTCTACACTCTGGACTCCAAGATCCTGATCTAGGAATTACAGTGGCTGAGGTGTCTCTGTATGCTTGATGGGCTGTGATGATATTTCCATCCTCCTCAAAGGCTACTTTAATGGCACCTTCTGGGGCAAAAGCTGCATTTCCCCTTGGAGAATGACACCCATCTGTTTCTTTTCAAGGCGGTTTGAGGACACTTCTGTGATCACCTTACTGAGCGCATTACAGCATGTGAGCATACTAATACTTCCTTGGCCTCTCTTTTGCTCATAGTTCTGAATGCTAACCTCTCCCCCACTCTCTTTTTCTCCATAAAGAGGAAGGAGCCTTAGTTAAGTGAGCAAATACCCATTTCATATAGCCAGCTTAATTAAAGTGACTATCAGTGAGCAACAGGAGATAATCCATTAGGAAACTGGGAAAGAGTCCCCGAAGTAGTGACTGATACAGGTATGTAATAACCTGAGAACTTTGCTCACGCTGATTTCATGCTCGGGAGAGCAGCCCTATGACGTGCTGTGAGCCACAAAAGAGGCTCTGCCCTGGTCAATAGCCCCATAAAGCTCAGGGGAGAGAGCCTGGTATGATCCAGAAAAGAAGGTGGCCAAGGCACAGCCAGCTGATAAGAAGCCTCTTGGTTTCTGCTCCTTCCACTTTCCATGAATCGTGGGGATTTAGAAACCAGATCTGTCATTTGTAAAGCAGACTGTTTCAAACACCCACAGTGAAGTCAAAGGAGCCCCCCCATTCTTAGGTAAGTGTCTCCCTTTCTTCCTCCCTCCCTTCCTTCCTTGACCCCTCCTTTCCTCCTTAAAAAAATTATAAAAATAATCCAGTCATAGCTACCTAATTCATATCATTAGAGGCAGTATACAAAAGTCCTTAATCCCCAACCTCTCTTTCTCAATTCCAATTTCCCTCCTTCCCTTCTTTCTTTCGTTTAAGAAAAATTAAAAAAGTAATGCATGCTCATTATAAAACCACCAGCACAGAATGGCCGGAGGTATGAAAGAAACCGCTTTACTTCCCATTCTTCCTTCACATTTCTTTTCCTCTTTGCTGTCTTCCGTCTCTCCTTTCCTCCAATTTTAAAAATGATATAAGTAACATAATGATAACTGCAAATCATCAAGCAGTGCAGAGCTGCATGGCTATGAAGGAATGAGCCTCTCTCACCTCCCCGCACCCCCTTTTCAGGTCTGACAGACATACGGACTTCCCTTATTCCTTTTAATGGCTGCATAGAGTTCTGTTGTAAGACTGTCCCATGACCTGTTTGTCGGAGGCCATGCAAGTTTCTGAAACGTAGCACTTCTGGCCCCCAAACTGTCCACCTGTGTCTATGCAGCACCTTCTCCTTTTCTCTTTTTCCTAATAAATGTGTCCTTTTAAAATGCAAAAACAAAAAAAAAATGAAACCTATGATATTATACAATTTTAGAGGAAATGCAAGAAAGATATAAGTTGGATAGTTTGCCGAAAATGCCATTTTATAAATAGCGATCACATCCACTTCTATAGCACTTTATACTTTGAAAATTGCCCTCATTTGGTTTTCGTCTAGAGCAGCTCTGGGAAATAGGCAGATTATTATCTCCATTTTTACAGATAAGGAAACTGAGGCTCAGAGAGTCCACAGCTAGTTATAGATTCTCAGCTTGGTCCTCGTACAGACTGTCAAGTTAAGCTGCATTTCATCTTGCAAGCCATAAAAGATTTAGACACCACCCTTCCTTCTAAGCACATACGTTAGGAAATGCATCCAAATCATTCAAATTCCCTTATTGTCTTAATGAGAATGGCTGCAGCACACTTGGTAAATATGAAGAGCCTTGGTAATGGCTGGCGCTCTTCACCAGCCCAAATTCATTTGGTTTCCTAATTGGCTTCTATTACTTTAAATGTAAAGTGAGTCTATTCAGCTAAATTCCACTTAGAAGTGGAGGAAACAGAACGCATGGCAATAATCGATAGGAAAAGAACATTTAAAATCAGCAATAAATCATTCGAAAGTATGTTTCATTCAAATTCAGGGCATGCCCACGAACACGTTACTGTCAAACTTCCGTAATATGTTTCGGCAGGATTTGTCCTTTTAATGCCAAACTTCCGTAATATGTTTCGGCAGGATTTGTCCTTTTAATGTGACTCCCAAACAGGCAACTGAGTTCTGATTCCTGCAGGAGAGAAGCTGGGGCTGTAATAATAGCATGTTCAGGTTTCTGTCAACAGATCTGCTTTAAAAGTGCAAATGACTTGATGAATTGCTTTTCCCCTCCCCTCTCCTTGCACAGAGCTTCCTTCAAAAAGTCTAGGGTCATTAAAACTGCAAGTTGTTGGCTTGAAGTTGCGTGCATTCAGGTTGTCGTTAAAATTAAATTACATTTTCTGTTGAGGCGTTTAATGCCCATCTTTCCCGCTGAGCTAACTGACTTATGAGTGCAGAGACCTCTCTGTCTTTTCTTCTCAAGTCTCACTTGCAGTGTGTAACATGCACACAGTAGGCACGCGGTACAATTTGATGAATCGATAGGCAGAGAAATCAGCTGGTGAGGTTTCAGCCAGGCTGTGTAAGTCTATCTGGCTGACATTGCTTGAAGCAATAGGAAAATCCCTGTGTGGGGAATGAGGGAGGAGCGTGGTCACATACACTTAGATGTTTTTTGTTCTGAGTCTGAGTTGGCATATTTCTGACTTTTTTGAACACAGGTTTCAACAATGACAGAACACACCGTTTACCAGAGGCTTTTTGGATTGATTCTCATGTTCAGTTTTATCTCTTTCTCAGGTGAGAAAATGTATTCTTATCTCTTTCAGTGCCTCACATACAGTAGATTATAGAAATAAGCCATTTGAAAAATTGCTGGGCTATCTCTCAATGGCTTCCTTTTGGCCAATATGGCTCTGGGACGCGCTGGAGCGTCAGTAAAAATATCCATTCACTATGGATCGCACATGACTGATGGAGAACTGTCCGCAAGAAGACAGCAGTCCGGGTTCCTGTCTTTGACATTTCTTAATGCGACTCTGAAATGCCATTTGGAGGCTAATGCACACCTCACAGAAGCTTTAGGTTTTCTTTTGCGCTGATGCCTAATGCTTTATTTCAAGCTCTCTGGAGCATTCTGATATCATCTTTCTGTCTCCATTATTTGTATATGGCAGCAATCACAGACTTGAAATGGGGAAACTGAGGTGTGTCCCAAACTGGTAACTGATTCACAGTGACATGCAGCCTCAGCCACATACCACTATTTCAGTTTCAGGTGCACAACTGAATATTCGTTTATGTTGTAAAATAATCATCTCAGGAAGCCAAGTTACCATATTTTTCTCAGCAACTTTCAAATTTGCAACACCATGTCATTAGCGCCCCCATGGGATCCGTTACATCACCCTGACTTATTCATTTCATAACTAAAAGTTTGCGCCTCCTGCGGCCATTCACCCATTTTGTCCACCTCCCCTCCCAACGCTCCTCTCCTTTCCTCTCCTCTGGAGACAGATTATTTACTGCTATGTTGTAGCCAATCAATGATTAAGAGAGTACAAGTGAAGTAGCTGGTCATTTGGAGACTTAAGGAAAAGGTTACCTTGGAATACTCTCAACTTGTCCATATTAAATAAATCTAGTTGATAGCATTGCTCATTTAGTGTATCAGTCTAGCTAAAAGGTCATACATGCCAGTGAGTGACAATTCTCTATGAAATAGACCTGGGGTCTAATTGGAACAGCCCTCAGATTTGAGAGCTAATCTTCTGGAAAAATACCAAATCATCATCACCATCAACAACAAACACTGGTTTCCTGTTGCGTGCAGAGCCTGATGGGAAATCATGTTTCTTATAATAAAGGTTACAATGGGACCTATGGGGCATGGTGACAGCTGTCACCTGGCCTTGACTACCTGCCAAGATGTTGATTTATCTTTTCCCAACCTGTTTCCTCAAACACAAGAAAACGTGCTTTCTTTATTTCTTTCTCCAAAATATCCAATACAGGGCTTGATACATGGGTTAGGCACTCAGTACTTGTCTGTTGATTTAATAAAGTTAGAACATCTGTATTGTGGTGGTGGGCTTTTGGTGAGTGGTCACAGAGCATGGACTAGAGGTAGGAAGAGAGAGACCTGAGGGTCAAGGAGGAAAATGTGGAAGTGTGTGGCACTGGAGAGTTCAACTGGATTTTCTGAGGAATGTAGTTTGTCAATGAAAATAATGACGCATGTGCAGATTTCGAACCTGTACAGGTCAATTTAAAACAGCCACAGGGTTTTCCAGACTGTTTGAAATCCAAGAGCCAAGGTTCTTTTCAGATTGTCAAACAATGAGGTACAACTGTTCTTCAATTGGTGAGAAAGTCGTTATCTTCTTCCTGGGAAAAAAAGGGTCTGTCCTTGAAACAATGTATAACTACGATTTGGGGCCCTTCAGGTTCCAGACGAGTCACCAGCCTCCCAACTGTGAAGGCCATTGTTGGGGAGAGAGCTGTGACCAGATCAGGTAGAAGGTGACTCAGACACTCTAATTGAAAAAGAAAGAGATGGATGGGGCTATGTGTCCACGGAAGATACCAAAGGTCAAGAACACACACACACACACACACACACACACACACACACAAACTGTCATAAGATTTGAGGGGCGAGGGCAGAACCAGTAGCGAGGGATGAAGACTGAGGTCAGGAGTTAAATAGTTGCAGAACAGAGCAGTGAGGGATTGTGCAGAGAGACCAGAGACTTGGTCCTACTCAGAGCTTTTGATCTGGAAAATTATACTTGTCAGACTCTAAAGCACACATTTCTTTGAAAGCATTTTCAGGGATATATTTCCCTGAGTTAGCATAGCCAAGGGGCTTAGGTAGCCAGTGAAGGACAAATCAGAAAAGTTCAGATGACAATTTTTTTTAAAGATTTATTTATTTATGCATACAGAACTGGGGTACAGGGAAGAGATGCAGGGGCAGTGAGAGGCTTCATCAGAGACAGAGCAGGGAGCAGAACAGACCGACTGATGAAGTACACTGCTGAGGGGAGCAGCAGGCGGGTCGGGAAAGGTCTTGTACACCTTGTGGGTCACCTCCGGGGCAGGTGGGGATCGAACTCGTGTGGAAGTGGTTTTAGCTTCTTGGTGCTGTGGTTTAACCCATTGTGCCACCAGGGAGAGCCCCAATGTTGTTTTTTAAAAGCTTTATTTTATTTATTTATGCACACAAGAACTGTGGTGTAGTCAGAGGATTCACCAGAGACAGAGTGGGGAGCAGAACAGGGGGATCTACTGAATTTCACTGCTGAGGGGAGCAGCAGAGAGATCGGAGATATCTGTCACGCCATGTGGGCCAACTAGGGGTTGAACTCATGCCTCGGTGGTTGGTGATAGCTTGATAGTGCTGAGAATTTAATCCCTGTGCCACCAGAGAGGTCCCTTTTGATTTATCAGTTTCTTAGAAAGTTAAAAATGGTAGCAGGCAGACAAAGACATCACAGGAAAAGAAAACTACAGCCTTGGGCCTCCCTGGTGGCACAAGGGGTTAAAGCGCAGCACTATGAAGCTGTCTGCAGCCACTGCAGCACGAGTTTGCTCCTGGCCAGGGAGGTGATCCACATGGCACAGCAGATATTTCCTGACCTGCTCGAAGCTCCCCTCAGCAATGTATTTCTGTCAGTCTGCCTATTCTGCTCCCTACTCTCTCCGGTGAATCCTCTCAACCCCACACCTCTGACCTGTACCCCAGTTCTTGCATGCATAAGTAAATAAATCTTTTACAAAAGAACATTACAACCTTATATCACTTATGAACATAGATACAGAAATTCTCAACACAAACTAGCAAAATGAACTCAGCCTCCTTTTAAGAAAGTATGTACCCTGATCAAGTGGAATACAAAATGGCTCAACATGTAAAAAGTGATCAATCAATGGTAATGTACCACATTAATAGATTAAAGGGGAAAACATTCAGACGATCGTCTCAATTGATGCATAAGACGTATTTAAGAAAACCCAACAGCATTTCCTTATAAAAACACACAACATACCAGAAGTAGAAGGGAGCTTCCTCATTCTGATAAAGGACATCTATGAAAAACCCTCAGCTAACAGCACATGCAATGGTAGAAGACAGAACATTTTCCCCTACGATCAGGAACAAGATAACGATGCTCACTTTCATTGCTTCTATTCAACACTGTACTGGAAGTCGTAAGCTGGGCAATCAGGGTAGAAAAAAAAATAAAAAACATCCAAAATGGAAAGAAAAAATTGAACTAGATTCACAGATGACATACTTTTATATGTAGGACATCCTAAATGATCCACCAAAAAGCTTTTCAAGCTAATAAATTCAGCAGAGATGCAAGACACAAGATCGACACACAAAGATTAGTGGCATTTCTATAAATTAGCAAGAACAACCTGAAAGTTAAAAATACTCATTTATACTAGCATTGAAGTAGTAAAAAACCTAGGAATAGATTTAGCCAGAACCATGGAAGACTTCTACAGGGAAATTATGAACAATAAATTAAAGAAGATATAAATAAATGGAAAAGATCCAGTATTAATGGATTCAGTATTTAATGTTAACATGGCAATACTCCTCCATGAGATCTGTGGATTCAATGCAAACACTGTCCAAATTCTAATAGCCTTTTTGTTTACAGACAAGGAAAAGCTGATCCTACAATTCATATAAAATTGTCAAGGACCCTGAATTACCAAAATAATCTTGAAAAAGGACCAAATCAGAAAACTCACACGTCCCAATTTCAAAACTTACTAAGTTACAATAATCAGTGCAATAAGCATAATAATAGACACAGCTGAATGGAACAGAAATGAGAGTCCAGAAAAAAAATCCATATATGTGTTGTTGATTAATTTTCCACAAGGATCCCAAGACACTTCCCTATGACCAAAGAAATGTCTCTTTGACAAATGGTGCTGGGACAACTGGAAATGTAAATACACACATGTCAATATATGTGTATAAACAAAAATATAAAAAAATGAAGTTGGACCCCACTTCACACCACATACAAAAATTAACTCAAAATGGATGAAAGACCTAAATGTAATAACTACAACTGGGCCTCCCTGGCGGCACAGGGTACAAGTGTCAGTCTATCAAGCTATCACCAGCTGCTGTGGCCTGAGTCCAATCCCCGGCCAGGGAGTGACCCATATGGCACAGCAGACCTCTCCTGTCTCCCCGCTGCTCCCCTCAGCAGTGGACTTCGTCAGTCGGCCTGTTCTGCTCCCCACTCTGTCTCTGGTGAAGCCTCTCACCCTCTGCTGTCTGGCCTGTACCCTGTTCTTATATGCAAAATAAATAAAAATAAATCTTTTTTAAAAAGGGGGGGTCTCCTTGGTGGCACAACTTTTTGTGCAACAGCCAGCCTGTTTCTGTGCCAGCTGCCCCATGCTCCATGCCAACCAGCAGCACTGGAGGGTTCCACCTTCTCTGTCTCCTTGGTGACACTT